CTAGGGGGTGGGGGCCTTGGTGGCGGCGGGCTGGGCGGGTAAGGGCTGGGCGGCGGTGGGCTGGGTGATCGGGGCATGGGTGGTCTGGGGCTGGGAGGCGGCGACGGGTCCGGGCTTGGCGGCGGCGGCGGCGGCGGCGCGTCTGGGCCAGCTGGTGGTGGCGGAAGTGGCTGAAGCGGCGGGTCTGGCATCTCCGGTCTTGCTGGTTCGGAGGGCACATCGGGTCCGAAGGGAAGCCCTGGACTGTCAGGCAAGCCCGGGGAGGGAGGCGGTGGGGGATCCGGCGTGTTGGGAGGCGGGTTTAGCGGTGGGCTGGGCGGAGGTGGCCGCGGCGGCGGGCTGAAGGGCGGCAGGGCGGGCGACATGTACTCCATGTTCGCCAACGAAGGACACTCCGTAGCGGCAGTACGGAAGCGACAGATGTGCACACGCAATGTATCGGGACGGACCCAAGCACCGCCGTACACCAGGAGATTGTAGGCCGTCAGCGTCACCGTAGACATGCTACGTACATTGTTAATGTACTGCACCTTGCGATCCGTGTAGGTGTATGGAGCTGCGGGAGCTACGTTGTCCTGGGGTTGCATCAGGGCATGTACGGGAGGGGGGAAATTTTTGGGCTAAGTCTCAGGTGCGGGGTCGAGGAAAAGAGATTGACACGGGCTCAGGGGCGGGAAGTGCGGAGTTGAACATGGGCAAGAGAACGGAAAAAGACAGGCCGCGGGCTTGTAAGGACGGCAGAGCATAGTCTGTCGGGCTGCCGGGGGGAGAGACAGGCAGACAGACAGACAGATAGACAGAGGGACAGACAGAGGCATGCACGCATGCATGCAGACCGACCGACAGGCAGTCTGAGGTGGATGAATAGTCGCAATCCTCCAGGCATCAGACAACGGACGGGCAGACAAACAGGTACATTTGCCCAGACTTTCGGCCACGCCATTAAACCAGTGCCATGAAAGCGATAGTTCGCTGTCCCAGTCGTCCCTTCGTTCTATTTATAACTGCAGATCCGGTCCAACCTCTTCCTTACTTATCATGACCTCAACCTTGTGGATGTGCATCCTGAAACCCGCACACGGACAACCCCGGCACACACAGTTACGCCCCGCACCACGGGGGTCCTCCCAGTCTGGCTGCCTACGCACATATGCACAGATAGGCCTTCGCCCACCAACTATGTGGGGGATCAGCTCGCGAGGCCTTTTCTGGTACGGAAGGATACAACAAACACACACACACGCTCTGCCTAGTTCTTTTAATGGCTATGCTTTCATCCGTTGTCCTCCGTTGGCCCCTCAGTCCATCCTTATCACTCATGCACACATACATACATACATACATACATACATACATACATACATACATACATACATACATACATACATACATACATACATACATACATACATACATACATACATGCATACATACATACATACATACATGCATACATACATACATACATACATACATACATACATACATACACGCAGGAAGACAGAAAGCAGGTCTGGATTTTGTTTCCTTTTTACCAAAAAGCATTAAAGCACAAACAGACAAACCACCTCGCCTCGTCCCCCGGCCGCGACTCACCATCGTCGCGTTGACTTCGTGAATGTTGAGCCGGTTGGCGTAATTAAGGTTGATCGTCGTGTCCGCGCCCTTCGGCACGCGCACCGCCATGTAAAGGTTTTTGCCGGTGGCACCGTAGTTTGTCACCCAGTCTGGCTGGATCCGAATAAATACGCCCTCGCTGGTGAGGTAGGTGGCGGGTAGTATGAAAGTCCGCCCGGTAGCGATGGGCAGAGAGCCTGAGTTGAGAGCTCCAGCGTTGGGGATGGAAGTGATCCAGCCCATGCGGGATGCCTCGGCGGCGTTGGGACATGCGCTGCCGCGGCCCATCGCAGTGGAGTAGTCCTCGTACTCGAAACCACCTTGCCATGAGTGCCACAAGCCTGTGCGTCATAGGGGATGGGGGGATTGGGGGATTGGGGGGCGCCTTTGAAGGAATTTGGGAGGGGGGAAAGGGAAGTAGGAGATGGAGGTGGCATGGGGGCAGGGTGAAGATGAGGTGTAAGAGTAAGTGGAGGAGGAGGCGGAGGGGGGTTGAGGTCAGAAGGCGGAGAGAAGGTAAAGAAAGAAAGACGCTATTACCATTAAAACGGTAGCAGGTGGGGAAAAGGAGGAGGGCGTCTTGACGGGGGAACGCCGGGGCGATAGCTTCAGCATGGGGTCGACTGGGCAGGAACCAAAATTAGGAAACGCGTCGGGTACTTGCCGACCCAAAGTCACCAGCAGCGGGGTTTACTTCAGCAAGGAACATCTCAACATGACACTTTCAGTCCGAGCCCCACAGTTCCCCTTCGATGATCTCTTCCGCAACCACCCGCCGTTCCACATAAACACCTGATGAATATTATATTATATTATTATTATTACTACTATTACTACTACTACTACCATTATTATTATTATTATCATTATTATTATTAGTGGTAGTAGTAGTACTATTACTACAACCAAGCCGCACGCACCGTAGTTGTGCAGGATCTCTTGCATGGCCGTTGCCCAGCGGTAAACACCGTAGGATGTAGTTTGCAACCACGTTTGCGTGCCGGGCAGCAGCGCTAGACCCGACCAACTGCAAACACCTTGCATGGCAGGTGGCAGAACGTATGTGGTGTGCGTGAAGCTGTAGAAATTGTAGCCCGGCAAGCCCGTAAAATTCTTAGCGGCAGCATCGGCGCCGTTGGCTATATCATACCAGCTGCACGTGGACACGACGCTAGAGCACGGCGCCGCAACTTTAATCACCGTGAACCTCGCCGCATCAAACGTGAGCTTGCCGTACGAGCACTGTGCGAACTTTTGGGCGATTCCGCCGTTGCCGTCCCAATCATCACCCAGGAAGATCGTCCTCGCGGTATCTTCCGTCAGAGTGGCCGGATAGCCACAAGCGGAATAGTCGAGGATGATGACTAACCGCCTCTGGACGATGCCAGTGCTGGGCAACGGTACGACATTCGCATCTTGAAGAACCTGCGTGTTGGCTCGCTCAATGCTCGCGCAGAAGCCGGTAGACGAGCTCACAGAGCACCTCTGCGGGACGGGACGGGATAGGGTTTGGGGGGTTTCAGGAGGTTGCTGGCTGGGGTGAGAATGAATGAAGTGAGCAGCAACAGCAACAGCAATAGCCCTAGCAGGACATCAGCGCCAGAGGCGGACGTGCAGCAGTACCAGTAAAGGTAGCAGCAGTACCGGTGAGGTGCAACTTCATAGAGCCGGTGCCATTTGGACTTCTAGGATAGGTATGCCTGTGTACGCCGGTGTGCGTCTTGCTACCTAGCAAGTCAGGACCAGGCCCGCTGCGGCGTAGGGAACAGACTGTGGGCCAAGCAAGATCTCAAGCCAAATCTAATGAGTCGGCCGAGGGGAGCAGCTGCTGTGGGATTTGCGGATTCATGGCTTGGGCCATCCCTGCCCAATTCCTCACGAATTAGCTCTTCCGGTATAGCACAGGGGGGGGATGTCAGGAAACCCACAGGCAGCGCGTGCAGTTGACAATCTAGATCAACAACAGTTACTGTTATCCTTTCCGCTGCTACTTTTGCGGCGGCGCTTGGTTGTTGGTTATGGCGGTTGGTAGTTGTTCGACCCTCCTTTGGATCTGGAGATGCAAATCATGAAATACGTCATGAGACGCATTATAAAAGACATCCTCCCTCAGCGTGGCACTTTCAGTTTTTTGAGTTGTAATATACCATGGCGTTTCAAGTTTCCCGCGCTCTCGCACCGTTCCCTTCCCATTGCCGTCCCTCCGCTCGTCGTGATGTTCAATGCTTGCAACACGCCGAAGGCGCCCGGTACGCCCGACTCGCCTAACTGCCCCACTGGCCACTGAGGAAGATTCCTATGTTATATTTTCTGTGGTCATTTCCCAAGGTCTGTCCGTTCAGCCAGTTCGCCAGGCATGCATACCCAGCCAGCCACAACCCGACTTACAAAGGCGACCTGGGCACCAACTGAAATGGCCTTGTTTGCCACATCGCGTACTGGCAGTTTAATGTCTTTCGTGATGCCCACCAAGTTTCCATCATCGCCGCGGAGTGCGTACTGCACTCCCCCGAACTCGTGAAGGTTCACAGCCACCAGCTGCCCAGAGAACACTTGCTGTCCATTGCCGCCGGTATCTATCATGGTGCTTCCGCCGCCGCCATTGCCGATGTTGGCCCCCACAATGCCTGCATCAGTACCTGTGGCGTCGACGGGTTCCGGAGCAGCAGGGTCGGTGGGGCCGGTCGGCTCATAGTTGGTGTTGCTGCCGTCTAACGGCCCGTACAAAGGGGGCGGCGGCGGGTATTCGCCGCCACCGTACAATCCGTATGGTCTGCTGGGAAGCGACGGCGGCCAAGGTGCGCCTGGTTCGATGCCGGTGCCGGTACCGCTTTCAGGGTAAAGGGGTGAGTTGGGAGGCGGCGAGGAGATACCGGAGCCTCTTATTGAGGGTGACCTGCGACCGCCGCCCCCAACTACAATGCTGCCGCCACTCTTGGCCGGGGATGATGAGGAGTAATCCTCCCCCTCAAACCATCCGCTGCCGACCCCATACTCGGAACCGAGGGAAAAGCTCACGCTTCCAGACGACCAAGAGTGAGCTACTGTGTTCAGATATGCACGTTCGGGGCAACGAAGAGCAACAAAAGAGAAGGTGGTAGGATGAGTGTTCGGCTTTGGCCCTGGCCCTTGCTGGTAGCAGCAGCAGCAGCAGCAGCAGGCCGGCCGCGGTCTGACCCGACGGCACCTAAGGAGGAAAGGATTCCATCGACGGATGATACAGAACCCATGCACCTTTAAACCTGGTCACTGTGCACTTTCCTGGTTTTGACGATAAGTTATGTTACTCACACCAGGCATTGAACCACATTGACCTCACCTCGACCAACTTGCAGGAGCAGCAGCGCTAAAAGCGCTAACCGTTTCATGTTCGAACAGTAAAATTACTGGCTAACAGTCCATTAGATGAAACAGCAGTCCTTGACGAAGAGGTAGCGCTGACTGAGCTGGCGTCCCGCTAGAAGGATGGCCTGCAGGATGACTGCTGAGAACGTCTATATATAAGACGGGTATGTTTCTCCGGATCAGATGTTGTATGGACAGCCCAGGCACTGTAAGGCCTGTCTACCTTACACACCTCAGACTGGAGTGCGATGTGTAACCCCCAACTATTGCCCAACGCTTATCTATAAGCTGTTATTATAAATTATGCAGGTATTTTTAAGTCCGGTTTGTTGTACGCCAGACGATTCACCGTAGCTTCCCAGTGAATGGCCGGTGGGCTCTCGACCGTCGCTATATGCAGCAGTATTTGCTGCAGACACGACCGACACGTGGCAAAATAAATATGCGGAATCAGACACTATGCAACAGGCTTGCACGACACAGTGGCACCTTCATGTGATGTGACATCATGTTTCAAATCGGCTTTTAGTAATAACCTAAATCTAAACATAATCAAACATATTTGCGGAAGCTCCCACTATTCGTCCTGGTGCGGTTGGGGGAAACGAGAAGCAGCAACTGCTGCTAACAGTAGTACGGGGCACTACGAGTGCTAGCATTCATCGTAAATTTCAATGATATCTGATTAAATTACACTAATCATTCATTTGCATCATCAATTGGAGGCGCTCCTGGATAACTTACCACAACGGGCGACAGACTAACTGCGCGGCAAGGCGGGCTGTTCGGCGGGCGCGTTTTGCGGAACTTTATGAGTACTCTATCTTGCCCCAATCATAAGGCAGTGCGAGTGGCTCAACAATTTTCATCATTTGTTGGGCTGGTAAATCTGGAAGGGCGCAGGGCTGCGAGGCGCTCGAAGCTCTACGGAACAACCAAATGCCTAGGGTCAGCTTTCAGCACCAGCCGCTTACCACGAGGAAGTGACTGGTAAACCAAATCAATTTATCCAATCATCCAAGAAGTTCCTAAGAGGGCTACTTCCCGGGAAAAAGGGAAGCTTCTCGCTAGGCTCCAGGCTGCTGAGGAACCTTGGCTTTCGAAAACCTGCATCGGTGATTTACGGACGCAACACCCCCCCCCCATACATGCGTTCCTAGCAAGCGCCCACATGGCGTGAGGCTGGGCTGGTATGGGTCGTTGAAAACAAATCGCATAGATGCCAGCAGCGGAAACTAAGGTCTGCAACATCGTGCAAGCGCCATCGGCTGCATAGGATCACATCGGAAACCTTCCGTAGTTGCTCCTCGTTTGACTCGCGCAGTTGCGAGGGGCCTACTTCCTATCATCCCGGCACATACAATTCAAATTCTCATGGCGGATTGTTGCCGACGGGGGAGTTTCCCGGCGTGCCTTGCTCGCGGCGCCATCCAGCCGAAAGAAAAATCGTACCTCGCGCTTAGCTCCTAGTTCCGCAAGCGTCGAGCAACAGCTGCATCCTTGCCGTTAGTCAGCTATTTGCATATATACATGCGTATGTGTGTGCGGCCGGCTGTTTCAATCGCGTGTGCAATGCACAGGGTTCGACACCCCGTACGGGGCCCGTAAGTTTTTGGCCTTTTTTCGGTATCCCCGTCAGGGCCCGTAGGACTTTGCGGTGGCTCCCGTAAGGATTTTGGGGCGCGAAGCGCCCCGTACGGGGCCGCCCCCGGACCGGCCGAAGGCCGGTTACGGTGGCTCCCGTAAGGATTTTAAGGATTTATAAGAGGCCACTGTGCATTAAGAGACGATCAAACCAAGGCGACAACTTCACAGCAATCAACCAAAGCAAAACACTTTGCAACTACTTCTCTGACTTTACGGATAGGAAATGCATACATATGAAGCATCAGGAACATGTTTAAAGCTCGGTTGACCCTGTCCGTGTGCGAGCTCACACCCTTGAAACTGTGCGCCACTGTAAGAGCAGCAAGGGCCACATAAAACCGCCTCTCCCGTTAGTTATTTCCAGCCCACTACTGATTACTCGTACGCAGCCTTCCCTGGTGTTACAGATCTGCGGCGAGAAGGCCCTAAGACCTGAAAAGTAAAAGTTATGTATTGTGAAGTTACGTACTCGTACTTGTAATGTTGCAGGGTCTTGGGGGTAATATATTGCAATGCAATGCAATCTAATGCACATACACACACACACACAGACACACACACACACACAGACACACACACACACACACACACACACACACACACACACAGACACACACACACACACACACACACACCGCTGGCAAGTGTGTGTCGCTTTCGACGAACATCATGGGAGTTGAGGTTGGAGCGAAATGGAAGACGGATGGAGTCGATATAATAGTGGGAGGACGCGAGTTAAGTCCCCGTGGCGCAGTTGCGGAAGCTTTGAAGTTGCAGATACATATGCGTAAGGCGCTGCTGGGGCCCCGTATGCGTGCAGCGCGCGGCTCACTTGTGCATTGCTCACATTGGTCGATGGCCTCCGCTGTCCTAGTGCTGTGGGTGCGCATCTAACTACCACACGGACCTGACACACTGCGCCAATCATCCTTCATCAAACGCAGCTAGGATACGACACAAGGTGCCCACAGCGCCCAGCTGCTGGTCAGCCACGCCACTCTCGCCGGAAAGGCACGCCAGCTGATATCAAGGACCTGGCACAATTGTGCAACATTACGTGGTTGGTTCACATAGAAGTGGGCCTGCCTATAGCTGCGTAGTGCGCGTGTTTGTTGACGAGGCCTCACTGGTCCCCACTGGTCCGAACTGACCTGATTTGGTGTCGCGGTTGAGTCGGGTCGCTTGGTGACCTGTTCAGATCCACCGTTGTAATTATATCCCACTCAGGATCCGTTCGAATCCGCCGTAAATGAAGTTAATTCAGTATCCGTTTGTATTCACTGTAGTGATACTAGCTTAGGCATGGCAGGTCAGATAGCGAATAACAAATGGACGTTTCCGAGCTAGAAGTACGACGTCCTGCGACGTCGCACTTCACTCCAAGGAAGAGCGCAGCTACCTTGGATAGCAGAACCATTTTTCAGGCAGTTTTGCCTTCATTATTCCTCAAACACATTTGCCGATATTTTTCTATACCTGAATTGTCGCTGAGATCTCGCCTGCGAACCATTTCATGTGTACGACCTTGTACGATGCGTGCGTGTGAATCCCGATCCGAATTTATAAGATCATAAACGGACAATTTTGAATTTTTAGACGATGCAGAAGTATTGCCAACGTGGCGGAAGCACCGCTTGGCAACCTCTGGACTGATAAGTCTGCCGTCCACCTTTTTCCCAACTTTTCGACTGACGTAATCGCGCCAGCCAGCCTGATATGAGCGTGCCTATTAAGTGTCAAATCCACTTGGCAGGTGGGATCGAAAGACCTCGCCGCTTGATTGGCTGTGAGCCGGCTTATCGACTACTCAACAAGGAAAACATGGCAAAGCGCAAAAAGTATTAGCGAGGGCCCGACAGCAAAATAACGAGTTATAGAGACGAGTGGTGCAACATTAATAGTTTCAACGGATAAAAAAAAACGTATAAGAGTAGTGTAACGGCTCATGCTCGTTAGGATGGCGATTGTTTGGACGCGCGTTCAGGAGGTGGGGGTTCGATAAACCTGGGGGCCTCCGTTTCACTCTTACGTTAAGATATTTTTTGAATGCGGCTTCACTGCCGAGGAAGGATTCGATCAGGCGAAACACAGTCTTCCGTCAGCTCGACCCTTGCGTAGCCGTCCTGCTGGGAGCTTGCTAGCACATGGCTTAATGTTGTACCTATGCTGCCATTCGCTATATCCGGAAGGGATAAAACGTACGGCATGCAGGAGCTAGAAGTTTCCGAGTGTGTTAGGCATACCGTCGCTTATGTTAATCCACGCAGGAAAACTCATACTTCCTGCTTTTCACTTCTTTTCAAGAAGAGAAAGGAGGATGGGGATGGAGCTGCTGGGACGGTGAGTGCACAACAGCTGCTCCGCTTCGCAGGGAGTTTAAGGTCGTGGGTGGGGAAATGAAAAGAGGATTTGCCGAGGCCTCTGGAACCATCACATAGGCCGAGTGATGGCCCTGGTGTGGGCGAGTGAACCAGCAGCAGCAGCACGTGGACACGAGCCGCGTGCGTGTGTGCGTGTGTGGCCTCGGTGGGTTTGGAACGGCTGAGCGCGCTGGCTGATTGGCGAGATGCCAAGTTGGTGTTGCCCTCCTAGGCGGCTGGCTTCGCCTTGGTTGCGGTCTGGCAATCCTTTATCCAAACTTGCCCCTGCCTGCCTGCCTGCCTGAATGCATCAATGCCAATCTTCGCGTCAACAATAAAGTGCCATCTGCCGGCCGGCCTGCTGCCACTCTGCACAAAAACCCCCCAAGCCCATGCCCTGGAACAGGCATCTGCAACATTCATCTGCCGTCTTTGCCGCTGCGCACAATCTTACAACCGCGGCGGTGGCAAACCACAACCGAGCGGGTGACTACATATCGTACTGTAGCCCTTGCTTCTCCTCGAAAATTTTCTTTCCTCAAATATCGATTTTGTCACCACCAGTACAGTCCTCACCCAAAATGTATCGCATCAACAGCATGGAACGGTTCCACACCTCCCCTCGATTTGGCTCACAAGAAGACTCCGCATTTCTTTCCGTCTTCTTCTTCTAGCAAGAAACAAGCGCACTTTAAGCGCGCTATCGCCGAAGCACGACGCCCCTCTTCCTGCGACATTGCTCACATACTGTTTGTTCGCACGCAGAACAATCCATGTGCAGTATGTAATATTCGCCTTATGCAGCAGGTGTGGGTGTGTGGGTGTGTGTTGCAAGTATCTCACCGGGCCTGACACTGGCCAGGGGCTGCTGCCCAGCCCCAACGGAAAGACCGCCTAAGCACTCTCCCACGGACGGGAGTGTGAGGGGCGTGAGGGGCCTATGCCCCCCCCTAAGCAGCCTACAGCCGCAGGTCCGCTAGATCCGCTCTCTCCCCCGGGGGCTGGGAGGCGTCGCATGCTCTCACGAGTCAAGAGGCTCCGTCACGCGAGTTTGCGTTCACTGAGCCTCTGAAACACGCAACAAGACTCCTCTCCCTCCCCGGCCTGATCCGGCTCTTGGGGTGAGGGTTCACTCCTAAGACACAGAGGAAGCCCGGAAACCCTGTACAGACCCCACCCCTCCCTACTACGGCACGAGGCCCTATTAGAAAGCTCACCCGGTCTCTCACCCGATTCTCCGTTTACGTGTGTCTATATGCGAGAGAGGGCGCCATTTAGCGGAGAGCCGCACAATACAGAAGAAGAAGGAAAGGAGAGAAAGTCACAGTTGGCAAGACGTAGGAGGAGAAAATAGCGTCCGGAGGGAACGATTGAGTTCCGATCATAGACCAGGTAGATAGATATATAGATAATAGATAGATAGACAGACAGACAGACTCGTCAAGTTGGCTTTGGTGGGGCTTAGCGATACTCCTCCGCAACACAAATATTAGATAGGACCAAAAGGACACAACTCTTTCGCATACATATCAAATGCATACACATCAAATGCATACATACATACATACGCGGATATGCGTGAACGAAACACCAGGTCCATATCCTGCCGCCTCCCCTCCCTTCCTACCCCCCACATTAACCTGTTCCCCTCCAAAGCCTTCCTAACAACCTTCAAAGCGCATTACTACCCCACCGTCCCCCCAAGATACATCACTCTATCCCACCCAACCCCACACAAAACACATGCACAATCAGACACAGACATACACACACAGACAGGCACACGCACAGATAGACAGACAGACTCACAACCGGCAGAGACGCACACGCACACACAGACGCACACACCGTGTAGCTCGCTTCTCGGTATAAAGCTACTCGTGTGCTTTCACCATCGCGGGCTTTCCCTCATCGCGGCTCCGAAGATATTGACACACATCGGGGGGAAGACGTCCTATAAACATTAGTACGGCGATTATTAGTCGGTGGGCTCAAACGTCAAAAAAGCTGCTGAAGGCATCGCATCACACTAAACACAGCATTATGTCTTACGTTCGTTACTCTGCTGGCCAGTCAACTTGTCATTAACAAAAGCACACAGGCAATAAGACGTGTTCCATAACACACACACACACACAAACACAAAAACACATACACACACATACCCGCACATCTGGTGATGATGATGATGATTGCCCAACCTCGCACTTGTGATCATCATCACACCATTTTCTTCTCGGGGGGCTTTCACCACCCTCACGTGCACGCCGTACTGCTGACTAAATTTAAATACGTATATACCTCCGCACACTAACACATGCGCACTCACGCAGCATGCTCTCTTCCACTACTATATGATGCACACATACAGACATGCAGACAGACGCCGGCACCAAAAGCAAATGCGAATGAGAGAAGAAACAGATATCACAGAGCAAGAAAGAAAACAGGAACCTTTACAGAAAAAAAGGACAATCTTGGCCGGCAAGTGATGAACGGCGGCTGCGCCGCAACATGAAACCTGTTCTTAGGGTGGAACCGGCGGGGCCCGCCGGGCTTGCATGCCAATATGTACTCGCGCATGCACAGCGGTGCACCCCATCTCGCCTCCTTCCACACTCCCCCGCCGCTGCACTCAACCACAAAAACAAAACAAGACGACGACCGGACCCGGAAGCTACTACGTACCTACCGCATCCATCCATCTCTCTTTCCTATTCTCTCGGCCTCCATCCATCTATCGCTTTCTCCCCGACACACATCAGTACACCTGTATGTATGTATGTATCATATCTGATAGTGCAAGATCGCGATCCAAATTTAACATAACAAACAGAGAGCATTATTTGCAGTACTTTCGCAGTCATGGTAGAGTGCCTTTGCAGGTCTATATCTGTCTGTCTGTCTGAATGTCTGTCTATCTGTCTGAATGTCTATCTGCCTGTCTAACTATTTGTCTGATGTATGTATGTGCATACAAAGTCCCATACCTTGCACATGGCCCCGATGACCGGTCAGCAAGACGAACCAATCCAACCCTTTCATGGCGCAACCTCGGTGCACATCCGCGTGGGCCTGTCCACCAGCCGTAACACCAACATCCCTCCATGTGCAGCGCCCCCACCGTCACAGCAACAAGGCCCGCGTGGTGGATACCATGAGGATGCTTCATCAAGGTTTTCATGGAGTACGACACAAAAAATACCGTACATTGTAGTACAGTACGACTTACGTTGTACGGTGTAAGAAGAACTGCCCGCAAGTAAAATGTGATGTGATTAACACACACTCAGTCCACTCTAATTCCTAAATGCATACTAACACTTTATTCCTGATACCAATTTTACATTGAAAAGCACATAAGAACATCGCTCCAACACGCGGGCAAACGACGTACGCGCCACAGCCACAGCACAGCGCCACGGCTTCAGCTCAGCTACACACACACACACACAAAGGAGACAGTGGCAAGCCAGCCATCCTCCGTGGGTGCGTGCATCTGCCCGGCCCGGAAGAGCGCCCGACAGCTGCCTGCCGCTGCCCATGCACACGGCCATACGAGGCTGCTGCTCCACTCCAGCCTCAACTCTACCAAAGCGCCTACCCCCCTTCCCCCAACCTTGCCCCAACCGAGCCCAGACCGGTTCATGGCCGTTGTTATTCGCTATAGCGCTATCCGGTGGTCCGCGGAACCGCACCAAGTGAGACGCGACGCCACCCAGGAGCGGTTCAGAAGAACATTTGTCAAAAAGTGGATTGGGCGCCGGTTGGGCCGAGATAGGGATACCGGGGCCGATAAGACCCGTGCCCCGTGCATAAGGCGGCCCCATCCCTTACCCCTCCTCGGCCCCGCCGTGCGCAGAGCCCTCGCCTTGCCAGCCCGTCACAGCCAGTACTGCAGTACATTCGGCAGCATCAGGTATTCTGTAACGCTCACAGCGTTTTGGAACAGTTACCAGTGAGTCAATCTCCGTCCGTCAGCCAACTTGTCTGTTAATCTACCTGTTTGCCTGTCCGTCTGTGTGTCTGCCAAGTCGTCAGTCCTAAAAGGTCCGTATGTCTGTCGATCGGTCAGGGAGTCCATCTGCCATCCTTGCATCTCGCTATCAATCATCTAATAAGAGGTAAAGAGAGAAAAATGTCTGCGTCTGAATCCCCAGCCCAATCAATTATACATACATACATACGCATATACACACAGGGGTGCATGTGTACAGACATACGCAAGACCGACTAGTGCTGTGCGCACCGACCCACCCCGTGCGCGTTGCTTCGGCCCTGAGCCCCCGGCGTCCTTCCCATGGTGTAGTCCATGTCGTACATACACACGTACATACCCACATACATACGTATGGACGTATGCACCAATCGCAAGCACAGAAAGCGGAAAGCCCCGTCCCAGTTGCCCAGAGCCCACTTGCGCCACCTCCCTTACCCATTTCCCCTTCCGGTGTTAAGCGGAGCGGCGAAGAGACGCGCACATGTGCACACACGCAACAACACACACACCTCTGCAGGAGGTGCAACCCCAGTGCGCACATGCACGACATAGCAGCACAGCATGACATGCGATCATGCTCCTGATGATGCTCCGGTGTTGTTGTTGATGCTCCAGGTGGTGCACGTGATGGTCATAATCATCACCATCACCATCATCATGGTGGAGATCATGGCGATAACGACGACGCTAGCTGACTGACACTTGCACATCAGTGCACAAGTCCATGCACGCCCGTGCCCGTTTGCGCGCCTGCATGCATGTCATGACGTGCAGTATCTCTTCCTTGCACATACACATGTCTACATGTATGTATGTATGAATGTATGTGCGTATGTATGTACGTATGTATGTACGTATGCTTCCATGCACGGGTGCTCGTATGTATGTATGTAAGCTCCGCGGTGGACGATGCCGGGCCGAAAGGCTTTGGACAGGCTCCACTTGTTTCCGTGCCAGCCAGTTCTCCATGAGGCCCCATGAGGCCCTCTTCCCTCCAACCCGCCCCTCCCCTCCCCCTTCCATTCCTTTCCCAGGGCCATGGCCACTTCGACACAAAGCGCACCCGTTCAACCAGACGTCTGTCCCCCTCTCTCTCTCTCTCTCTCTCTCTCTCTCTCTCTCTCTCTCTCTCTCTCTCTCTCTCTCTCTCTCTCTTTAAAACCAACTGTTCTCTCCAAAACCCGCCAAACCAGCAAGATGGCCAAATCCGCCAAATCAGCCAGCCTGCGTGCCAAACTTTCCCCTCACGCAAGCGAGATAGACATACACATATACACACGACGCGTGAGTTTCATAAGCATATCCCTCTGTACGGCACGTCACTCATCACTGACCCACGCCAGATTTTACCCGCCAACCCCCGACCCACCACATACCCCCCCCCGCACCACACCGCATCACACCGCATCATGGCGACGTGGTCGGTGTGCACTTCAACCACATCGCTCACCATCACCCTGTCACCTGCCTCCTCAACTCCGTAACCACCTCACCTACTACCCCTCCTCTGCAAGGTCCAGCACTGCTGACAACTCCAGCAACTCCAGCAAACTGCCAACCCACTAATAACTAAACCAGTGATGTCGAACAGCCGCGTTCTTTCTCTCTGTAGCCCTCTTTACCGACCCCTTTCCTTCCACCCTCAACCCAATCAATCCCCACATACAAAAAAACGTCATCGTCATAAACGACACCCCATGCCACTGACTGCCCCTGCCCGGAGCCCACCACCACCACCACCACCACCACCACCAGCACCGGCACCAAGGGGGGAGGTCGGCCGGGTGCGGAAGCCTCCATGAGAGCTGCGTCCATGAGAACCAGCCCTCCCCCACTTTCAGCGGCATCAGGGCTGTCCGCAGCTCCCAACCTCCCCAGTTCAGACTGTTCTTCCACAGGGCGCATGGCACGGCACACACACACACAGACAGACAGACAGACACACATGGATGATACATCTTAAACCCCCCACATCCTTTTCATTAATTATCCTATTAATGATAATGATGATAGTGATAATGACAAGTATCTCCAAACCATCCTAAACTCTCACTCTGCCCGCTACCCCCCTACTACTGGGCCCAACCGCCGCTCCGCCCCTCAGTGCCGCCCCTCCCTCCCTCCCTCCACGGGTCCAGACAGCCGCCCCGCCCCGACATTTCCCCCTAGTCCCGACCTCGCCTCAGACTCCGACTCCGGCTCTCGCTACAGTCTAGTCGCTACAGTAACTGGCCAGTTGGGTGTCGGTGGGAGATTCACTGGCGGAACACCCTGCTGGCGGGGCCCCACGTGGCTCAACGACATGTACGGCATAATCAACGACGTGCATAATCACGTACGCACAAGCAAGTAGACAGCGCAACATCAGCATCAGCATCAGAAGTTGCAGTTCTGCAGTTGAAGAAGAAGAAGAAGGAGAAGAAGGAGAAGAAGAAGTTGAAGAAGCCGCGATACACAACCCCCCTGCAAGGGTGGGAACAAGGCTGTGTGTGTGTGAGTGTGGGCGGCAATGGCAATGGCGTAACGACGGGCGGTAACGGCAGAAAAAAAGTATAATCTGAAGCACAGGCCGTGCGGTTTTCCACACAGCCGGACAATGCAGTACGATGATAGCAGACGTCCTCCTCGCCACCTTGCGAAATCATCCCCAGGTGTAGGGGATGACAAGAAAGTACCCCTATTAGCCCTGTAGCACTTGTTACAGGCCGGCAAGCTCCAGGCTCCGACTAGCGACTAGCGCCACTGGCTGGCGTCACTCATGTCTCCATGCCCGTCCATTAAGCTTACCAGGTGGACCAGTTGGCAGGAAGCGCGTAAACGGGAGATATTTCGTCTCAGGACAGCGCGGCCGGGAACCACTCCGACAGCTGCTGGTGCTGGTGCTGCTGCTGTGGGGTCACCGACAGGGCCTGCACTGGTGGTGGTACCTGCGCCGGCAGTAGCAGTCGCAGCGCAGCAGTGCCCGGCGCGCACTTCTGCAGAGGCAGCAGACGCCCTCCGCCTTGGGGTTGTCCAGGGGGCCCGCTGACACGACGAGGGCGCGGGGGAGGCGGAGGCATTGCGGCGGGGCAGGTAATAGGTGCGATGGCTGCGCCGCCGCTGGCTAAAGCCACCAATTTCGGCTGGTGATGGTGGAAGATAACCTCAGCCGGCGGGGAGGTAAAGGTCTGCCTTAGGAAGGGCGCATGCAGAGGTACAACATGTGGCGGCAAGAAGCTTGGTGGGGACGCATGTGGGGCTACGCTCGCTGGAGCCGGTCTGCTGGAGCCGAGTCCGCCGCAAAGCTGAGCGATGCGTGCATCGTATTGTCGCCGGGCGGCGCGAAGCTCGCCCAGCAATTCCTGCTCCAAAATGTCCAATTGAATAAGCTGGTGTTGCAGCTGTAGCATGTTGAAGCTGCCCAGACGCGAGGCCGAAACTGCCTGACGTGTAAGGTCCGCAGCTGGCAACGGCCTGCCCGCCAACGCGGCGATCCTCTGGCCCGGGGGATCCAAAATTCGGTATTGGTATGCACCACATTTCCTTACTTGTGGGATGCCATGAGCAGGAACCTCGGGAAAATCATCGTCAATGTTCTCAGGAACTGTAAAGGTGTCGCTGGTGTCAGATCGCCTCGCTTCACGTAGGCCGTCGTCTGCAGCATTTGAAGCCTGGTCAATCCCTTTCTCAGCTTTCGCTAGCTTCCTTGCGAGAAAGGAGTCGCCATCCTTTTCTTCGCGAAGCCGTTTGCGTCCACTGCTATCCTGCATGCCTAATCTTGACCCCTCTTAGGTATATATTTCTGCAACCTCAATCCCCAAGAACACGAAACAAAAGAGAGAAATCGGGCAAGACAATTTGCTTGAGCGCTATAGGCTCATATCAGTTGCGTAGAAAGCGAGATACGGACATTCCTATGCGAACGTACTTATACTTAATAGCATGGCGATGGTATTTGATTAGGCCGGTACGGTGAAAGTAACCGTCACGCGTTAGGGCTGTTTGCACTGAATCGTGGGTCTCATCTTTGAGCTCTAAACTAAAATACGCTTGCGCGAAGAATATCAAGTTGCGCAATTTGTGACAAGAATTTAAACCTCACTTCTTCCTCTTTCAGTCTCTGTCAAAGGTCCTCACAGGGATTTTGAGCTGTTCGTTGGGACAGGACGTTGACGGACAGGCGCATCGATGTAGTTCCGACTTCCGAGGCTGGCAGATGCTTCACTATATATAATTACATTCAAACATGCGTATCTTACTGGAGCTTATGTCGTTGTGATTAGATAGCAAAGTGTTGAACCCGACTGAGCAGTCCTCATTTTGTACAATTTCATCCTGCATTTTCCCTAAAATATTCATATGTTTCCTTTCATGACGTATCATCATTGCTTTACTGCTTCTCATACGGGAAACCTATGACTATTTAATGGAGCAACACCGCTAATTGCACATTAGACCCGATACATCAGTGGAGCAAAAGAACTGTGCATCCCAAGATACTTTACAAAACAAAGGCCCGGCAAGGGGCTAGAAGACTGCATCAACCGTATGATGTCACTCCAGACAACACGTGGCAGAAGCACATTGCTTAAACGTCATCGCGTGATCCGTACTCACTACTAACTTATTGTGGGGAAGGCCATTGCGTCTGCGACCACACTCCCGCGGTACCCAAACCCTTCAAAGACAATTCCGATCAGCCATTTGGCTGTTAGTGGGAGGGCGGGTGGGCCGCTCGCACGGCAATCGAGTAGAGAGTACGAAAATAACCTAATGCAGTCATCGACAGCAGAAAACGTAAGCCTCCAGCCTCATGCCGACTCTCTTACCTACCATTCATATTCTCTACCTCGTTCCCAAGACTCCGCCGCGTTGCCTCTAGTTCGGCTCGTGCCACAGGTAACTTCGCTCGTCGCTACTTTGCCATTCACCTTCGCCTCCACCCAGCCTCTGCTTCTCCACAGAAGCGGCGACCTCCTTCGCCGTTGTACGCCTCGTCTATGCGAATCC